TGAGACGGTTAGTCCTCTTAGAAGTGACATCTGAGACGGTTAGTTCTCTTGAAATGACATCTGAGACGGTTAGTCAACTTGAAGTGACATCTGAGACGGTTAGTCAACTTGAAGTGACATCTGAGACGGTTAGTCAACTTGAAATGACATCTGAGACGGTTAGTCATCTAGAAATGACATCTGAGACGGTTAGTTCTCTTGAAATGACATCTGAGACGGTTAGTCAACTTGAATTGACATCTGAGACGGTTAGTCAACTTGAAGTGACATCTGAGACGGTTAGTCAACTTGAAATGACATCTGAGACGGTTAGTCAACTTGAAATGACATCTGAGACGGTTAGTTCTCTTGAAATGACATCTGAGACGGTTAGTCAACTTGAAATGACATCTGAGACGGTTAGTCATCTAGAAATGACATCTGAGACGGTTAGTTCTCTTGAAATGACATCTGAGACGGTTAGTCAACTTGAAGTGACATCTGAGACGGTTAGTCAACTTGAAATGACATCTGAGACGGTTAGTTCTCTTGAAGTGACATCTGAGACGGTTAGTTCTCTTGAAGTGGCACGACAGATGGGTAGTTCACTAGAAATGACATCTGAGACTGTTAGTCCACAAGAGGTGACATGTGAGACGGTTAGTCATCTAGAAATGGCACGACAGATGTGTAGTTCACTTGAAGTGGCATGTCGGATGGTTAGTCCACAAGAAGTGACATGTGAGACGGTTAGTCAACTTGAAATGACATCTGAGACGGGTAGTCCACTTGAAGTGACATCTGAGACGGGTCGTTCACTTGAAGTGACATCTTAGACGGGTCGTTCACTTGAAGTGACATCTGAGTCGGGTAGTCCACTAGAAATGACATGTGAGACGGTTAGTCCACTAGAAATGGCATCTTAGATGGTTAGTCGACTTTTTTCAGATTAGTATAGTAAACAGTAGGAAAAACACGAAACAAAATACCTAGCTCCGCATTTTGATGGGCGCTGTCTTGAAACAATACAATATCCTTAAATATTTTCGTGTGATGTATATCATATTTATAGTTTTTGATATACTCTTTCTTGATTATTTTCAGAGCCATCACATGATTCGGCCACAGAACCAGTTTGTGTTTAGTGATTTATTTTGTTCATTGACGCCCTAACATGGAACACAGCCTACCGTGCAACAACAACGAATGATCCAGAAGGAGTATCGAACTCGTATTCACGTCCATCTCATTGATTTTATCGACTTTTCTTTTTGATTTGATTGTAAATTATTTAAAATATTTCGATTGATTTTTTGAGTGGTACAAATGCTTCGCTGGGTGCCTATTTGGTTAATCTAATGGGTAATAGTGTTCACAGCTAACCGTCGAAATTTGAGTCTTAAAATCCATGTATATACAGAATAATCTGCATGACGACTCCCCTTTCCTTGAGACTCTTACCATATAGAACAGACATACATAGAAAAAGAAAGTGAAATTCCTAGTTTGAGATATTTTTGAAGATTCTACCATTGCACTGGAAATACCTTTTTATTAATGATTTTAACTGAAAAATTACTGAGAGCAGAACCCCCGCCCTCAAACCGTTCTCCACACCAAGCCTCCAAGTAGCTGGATTACAGGAGCACGCCACAACTCCCAGCGATTACTATGATGGATTTCAAGCGGGTCTCTCTCTCAACAGTCCTCGCAAATACGACTGAGAGGATTTGGCGGTAATCAAAACGAGAGTAGAACCCTGCCTAAAGAAAAAGTCCGCCTGGACCGGAAACGGCCACTTTCGGCATTATCCGTCCGCAATCAAATCTCTGGATAATGTCCATGAGCTGACAGAAATGGCCAACTCAGACACTGAAGATCCGAATCTCGGCCGAAAACAAACACAGTCGCCATACCCCAAGACGGAAGGATGCAAAGGGTTTCTGCAAATAACTGCCACTACGTTCCTATACAATCAAGTTTTGCAGAAACTAGCAGCCAGCCGCTTGTAAGCCGAAATAAAGGGCTGGGTTGACTAAACTGCTTAATTGTGGTCCGTTTTTATGGCTGAGATGAATTGACTCCCTTGGAAATGAAAAATAAGACTTTTGATTGATTTTCCTGGACCCAAATATTGAGATTTCAGAAAAAATTGAAGCGCTATTCACTTTCAGACGGCAAGAAGTATCAGGCAAATTTTAGAAAAATGGAATGGGTCCAATTATATCGGACAGGCTACCAACAGATGCCTATTCACGGGTGCGATCCCACTACTGCGCGACACGCGGACTTTTGCCTGCTGCGTTTCCGCCCTGGGCCGATTCGTCCCTCTTTAGACAACCTGGTAACTCTCGGCTCCCCGAGTGAGACCATATTGATGCCGGGCTTAGCGCGGACACCCGATCGACATAGCGCACCTGAGAGCAGAACCCCCGCCCTCAAACCGTTCTCCACACCAAGCCTCCAAGTAGCTGGATTACAGGAGCACGCCACAACTCCCAGCGATTACTATGATGGATTTCAAGTGGGTCTCTCTCCCAACAGTCCTCGCAAATACGACTGAGAGGATTTGGCGGTAATCAAAACGAGAGTAGAACCCTGCCTAAAGAAAAAGTCCGCCTGTTCCGGAAACGGCCACTTTCGGCATTATCTGTCCGCAATGAAATCTCTGGATAATGCCCATGAGCTGACAGAAATGGCCAACTCAGACACTGAAGATCCGAATCTCGGCCGAAAACAAACACAGTCGCCATACCCCAAGACGGAAGGATGCAAAGGGTTTCTGCAAATAACTGCCACTACGTTCCTATACAATCAAGTTTTGCAGAAACTAGCAGCCAGCCGCTTGTAAGCCGAAATAAAGGGCTGGGTTGACTAAACTGCTTAATTGTGGTCCGTTTTTATGGCTGAGATGACTTGACTCCCTTGGAAATGAAAAATAAGACTTTTGAGTGATTTTCCTGGACCCAAAAATTGAGATTTCAGAA